ACCCCACCTCCCCCCACCTTAGTTGAACATTCTTGAAAGTTGTAACACGCTTTCAAGATACTCATACCTCTGATTGTTTTTCCGTTTCTGAGCATCATCAATTATGATACCTTAAAAGGCAATTTACCTTCTTCAAGCCAGATAGTGAGAGAAAAGCTAGTTTCTCTAAGCTATATTCTCTCCTTCAACAACATACACAATATAATCCCACATGTGGAGTTTGGGGAGGGTAGTGTGTACGCATGCCTTACTCTGTTGACGGTCAATTTTGACCCTCCCTTTTAAAATTAATTTATTTATTCTTAATAATTTACAATGAATGTTTTGAAAGTATTTTCTATCAAAAAATACCTATTTTATCAATTGATTAAGTATTAGTTTTGAAATTAATAACTTAGTACTAACACTATATAATTACAAATATACTTACTACTTTTTATATCATTGAGGCAATTTCTAAAATACACTATCTAGGCTTTATAATTATTTTAATGAATTATATCTCAAATTCTGATTAATTAGATTATTATATTCAAATTAGTGTTATAATTTAGAAGACAAAGTATTTCATAAATAATTAGGTATAATAATTAGTAATATGTTTCATAATTAAAATTTACTGTATTTTATTGAAAATAATTAAGTTTAATTAAATTAATTTAAAAAGGGTTAGAAGACCAAAAGGCTACAATTGCAAATCTCCTACTAAACATAAGATGGGAATTTCTTTTAACTATTTTGGCCCGATACCATGCCCAATCCCTCATCTAACCCAGCCCAAACGACCCTTCCATTCCAGATTGGCGATCCGCGTCCATCTCCCACCAATCAGATCGTGCCAAGACACCCTCCTTTATCACTCACAAAATACTGATGAAATTCGGGGAAAACATGGAAGCAGTCAGTCACTATACTAGGGGGGAGGGCAAGACATGACCGCAACTAAAGAAAAAAGTACCCTTGAAAAGACTAAAGAAACGGGGGAATGACTACCTGTAATAAAGCACAGGCTAATACGAGTCGACCAGAAGAAACACACATGCATTTGAAACGTTGATCCATCTGATCAACGACTCACATTTAACCTCTGACTTTCCTTTGATTTTTAAACACCCGACCAGAGATCAAATCTCAACCATCCAAACTCTTTTGATCTAACGACCCTCGATTTTCCCACTTAATACATTTCTAAAAAATCCAATCACCAAATAATCAGAGCCGTTGATCAAAAGATCCAACGGCTCCCGTTCCGTCTCACTTTTAAGCCTAAAGACCAACCCCCAATTACCCAGAAACCCTAATCATTTCTCCCATGCCCTGTCGCCCTTATTTCTCCCTTCTCTCTCTTTTCTCTCGTCTCCAACAACCATTAATCCCCAAAGACCTTGCACAAATTTTTGCAAGGTCACTCGAAATCCCTGTAAATCATCTCCCATGTCTCCGCTACACCATGATTCTTTCTTAATATTCCTTTTTCAATCACAAATCCAAGACCCCCAAAGTCAGAAACCCTAAGCTCAAAGGAAAAATCATCTAATTTTCTCTCATAAGTCTAAATTAGAGCATGAAATTACCTTATGAAATCCGCAAATCTTGCTGCAAATTCCCCTTTCAATCAAAAATTCAAAAATCCAAATTCTGAAACCCTAGACTCAAAGATGCAATATCAAATCTCTGAATTTCCTTCGTGTTCTGTCAAATCGAAGCATGCATGGAGTCATAGAGTTCATCATAAGGATTCGATGTCCAGAGGTCAAACTCAGTGACCTCTGGACAATAGAGTTTGACTGTTAGATCAAAAGATTCAACGGTCGACCTCCTCGTACTCAGGTAAACTCGACCCTATTTTTCCCACTATTTTCTTTCAATTTCACACAATCATGCTCACATCATCTACTATTTGTCACTTTTCACTTACGATTTTAAATATGTGTAACCTTAGAGCCTTAAATATCACTATAAATAGGGCATTTAATGCTCTGATCTACAATAACCTAACACTGAAGAAACCTACAGATACAAACACACTAAGCACACAAAGACACTAAGAAATTTACGGTTTCTAGTTCAATCGTGCTCACATCATCTACTATTCGTCACTCTATTTTGCTGAGTTCTATTGCTGGTTTTGTTACACCCTATATTTTTGTACGCAAAAGTGTGTCGTGAGCAAACTAATATAGGACCAAAAGTGATTTCATATTTGAAATTATATAAAGTAAGTTAATCATGTTACCTCGAAGGTTACAAATACTGAAGATCATGAACAACAAGTACAAAGATGGTTGGAAGGTTCAGAAGCTAAAGGAATTGAAGAAAATAATGTTTCATCGAAAATCGACAAGTTGGGAATGTTATAACATGTACTTTTGTGGTGAGACTACGGTGCTTAACATGATAAGGAGGTTATGTTATGAGTTATGTTAGTCGTATGATAGTCGTGTGCTATGTTTTGAAGTCAAGCGAGTTGTGGAACAAAAGTCGGTGAAAGTCATCACAAGATACGTTCATACATTTTACTGAAACTTTGGGTAAAATGTAACTGCGATTTTCTCCCAATATACTTAGAGTTATGGGGTGTTCCACCCATTAAATTTAATATCTATGAGTCTTTTTTTTAACTCATTAAATCATTTGTCAATACGATATCAGAGTAGAGAGATATGGGCATTTTTGCGAGACTGCGCAGACTACTAGGTGAGAGTCCAAAAATGGGCCAGTCCGGGTCGTCCAAAGAGGCCTTTTAAAGGAATATTTCCTTCATATATTGGACTGATAATAGGGTATAATAATCAGACATAAGCTCTGAAAAACTCCTCCCAAAAATTGCCCACAAACCCAATTGATTTTCTCTCCCTTTCAAGTTCTAATTGGAGGTAAAACCTAGAGTTTGAAGATCCAAGATAGAACTGAGTTATCCTACAAATAAGGTAAGTTTACTTCTCTCTTTCATCCATTTTTTCTGTTGTAAATGCATGGTAAGTCGTTCTATATTTGTAAGAACTCACGGGATGGTAATCGGAAGCAGTGAGTTCAAGTTATTCACTTGTAGCGGATTGTTTTGTGTTGCTGTTGGGCTGCGTGTTTTACTACTGTTTTGTGGCGTTTTGGAGGAGGAAGGGTGTGGAGAAACACTACATAAATGCAGGGTGGTGGGCTGATCGTTTGTCGTAACAATTTTGGGATGTTTGACACTACTACGATGGTCGTTTTGTGTATGAAGAGATTGGGGAGTGTTGGGCTGTTTTGTAGTATTTTGGGGTGTATATAAGGTTGGAAAATAATGTATATATGTTGTTATTGTTGCGTGTTTTTGGTGTTACCTTGAATTTGGAGGAAGTAAGGATTATAGGGGAGATGCTGCCCGTTTTAATACAAAATAAGCTTGTCGTTCGATGTGCGATAGTTGTACCTTTCATAACTTAATGATAGTATTATTATCGTTGTTGTAGATTAAGGTGTGAAGAGGCGAGTTCAACTTGGTGATTGGAAACATTGTGATAAGGTATGTTAAGGCTAAGCCCTTCTTTCATTTTGGCATGATCTCGTAACTACATGTGTTTGATAATGAGGCATAAAGAGAAGTTCATACTCCCAAATTTATATACATTATCCTAATCTCATAAGTTACAGTATTCTCCGTTATCGAGACTTTATATTCATTTGAGTATTGTCTTCTTCTAATCAAGAGAGCAGATGGTCTATATATATGCAGTATTACAGTATTTTCACCACCATCGAGCTATAATCGGTGGGCAGGCCCCTATTGGGCAACCTCTGATCAGATGGTAAGTTGTATACCGAGCCTATTGTGGCCGAGCGTCTATGAGCGAGCCCAGGATGGCCGAGCCATAGAGCCTAGTATGGCCGAGCGCCTATGAGCGAGCCTTCCACGATCGAGTAGTTACACGTACCGAGCCTTATAGGGCCGGACATTTATTTTACTTACTATATTGAAGTAGTTGAGTCAGTATCATCAGGTAAGTATATCTCCTGATCATCTTTGACTCCCAGTTACTTTCAGTTATTATATTATTAGTTCAGCTTTCAATTATGTTATTGCCTTACATACTCGGTACATTATTTCGTACTGACGTCCCTTTTCTGGGGACGCTGCATTTCATGCGTGCAGGTTCAGATAGACATACGTGTAGACCTCCTCAGCAAGTTCATCCTGATCGGTAAGCTCCACGTCCTTCGGAGTTATCGGGTGTAGGGTTTTATGTACATCTTCTGTATGTATGTATATATGTTATGGGTAGGTCAGGGCCCTGTTACGATCACAATACATCCATTAGTAGAGGCTTGTAGACATATCCTGTCAGTT